TCTAAATCTCAACATATTCCAGTCAAATCAGGCCATGTTACCTTCTCCAATGCACCCTAAACACCATTATGAGTGCATTGAACTCAAACCCAAGCTTTGGTTTGACTTGGTTGACAAGTCAAACATGGTTGACTAAAGTCTCCCTTTAACATTTAAATATGTATTTCAACTTAAATGGCCTTCCCATCACTTGAAAACCACTTACATTGTTCTCATATCATCAATCCAAACTCACTGGACCCAACCCTTAACCTGGGTCAACCTGGTTGACCAAGTGAACCAAGTTTGACCAAGTCAACCAAGTTTTACCAAATACACATACACTTCAACCTAGCTTAAACCCATTGACCAAGGCTTTGTCAAGCCTACCCAAACCCTTAGGATGGCCCATTAGGTCCCTAAGAGGGTCTCCTTGAAAGCCCAACCCATGGGCCCACTTGGGTTAGCCATATGGCTTGACCCAAGTGTCCAAAGAGAGCTCTCCGTGGCCAAATCTCACCCTCAACCAAATCAAATCAAGCTAACACTTGTATTGGGTTCCACATGACCCATTTCACCTACCATAGCTAGCCCATCCCTTGGGTGCACCAATGCTTGGAGTTGAGCTAGCTCAAAGGGGTCAAAATCACTTTAACCTGAGCCAATTCCTAACATAGGCTCCATCAAGCCAAAGTAATACTTGTATTGGGTGGCTATAGGTTCAATGTATCCTCACTAGCCAAACCAGCCCTTGGTTTAACTTGGGTCATAACCTAAGCTATCCCAAAGTGGTCAAAACCCCTTTGACTTGAGCTAACTTCCACCACAGATCAAACCAGGTCCAATTGTATATCACATTGAATAGTCCTTGACCCAATATACCTCCCCTGGTTAGCCCAGCAATTGGCTTGGCCAGGGTTGAACCCAAATTGACCCAAATCATCCAGGTTTGGGTCAACCCGAGCCACTTTGATGAATTGTGCCTCCCCATGCCTAATTGGCCTCACTATTGAGTTCATCTGACCTCAAACAATCTTTTGACCTAAGCCTAACACAGGTAGTGGCCGATGTAGGTAATAGCGAATGAGAATTAGATCTGGTGGTCCCCCCCCCTTCTCTCAAGCCCTGTTCAAGGCCTTTTTAGGGTCTGAGCTTGCAAAAGTTCATGAGGCTTAAAGTAGCTACATCCTCTAGTTAGTAAGCATCTAGCTACTCAACTGATCAATCCTAGCCATTCAAAGCTGTAGCTAAAGATTGAATATGGGTCTTGAATTCAAATGACATGATTCATTCTCAGCATTTCAAAACCCCACCAAGAGCTCTCCGAGCTTTCCTATTCCTTTCCCCAGCTTCCTAGTCCTCTCCAAAGTTAGTTCGAGCAAACTCTAGTCAACATTCTCTGCCATCCGCAAGAACTCATACTCTTAATGCTCCTCTGATCGAGACGTCTGAAGGAGAAGCATTCGTTGTCATCCCCTCAAGATTCCTGATAGAAAACCTTATTGTTTGGAACTTTTGATGAGTTAAAACTCTATTCCTGAGTTCTCTAGCTAGGCAGTCTGATCAAGTGTGAAGATAACCTTCACCTAAATAGATTTTCAAGGTTTTTGTTGTCCTGATGCTCTCTATAAAATTTGGGGGAGTTTCATCAGTAGGATCTCTCATATCACACTGGAAAAGTTTCACGGTCACGGGTACTGTGGGAGGTTAAAGATATATTCAGAGTCATTGATCTCTATCAACATCTCCGATTAAATCTCACTTTCTTGGACCACATTTAATCTCAGTTGTTTGATTTCACATCAGATGGTCATGGTTAATCACGCCTTTATCCAACCAACCATAATGATTAACTGGCCAATCAGATGACGCCTGCGTGGAAAGCACGCGACTAACTAGATAATTCCCCATTTAAAAATTCAAAAAAATGCAGAGAATTTTAAAAATTTATATATCCTCACACACATGACAAAATTAAATGATCTTAGGCTCATTAGAAAGGCCTTGATGAGACCTACAAAAGCTATATGGTCTTAACCTATGATTTTGTAAGAAACTTGGTCAATTATTGTAATTATTCTAGGGGTATTCTTATGATTTCTGTTAGAATTGAACTCACCATAGCTTAGGACCTTGGGGAATCAATTTTGGGCATGTCTCTGACATGTTAAAAAAAAAAAAATCCTATGTTTGATTTGATTAATGGCATGTTTGGGTTCGTTTTGGTCTAAGGGTTATTATTTGACAACTAAATTCAAATTAACCTAATAACCCATCTAATGGAAAATAGGACTTGGGTTTTGGTGTGCTAGTTGTGCTTAGGGTAAGGGTTAGACAACCCCATTTTAACCATAATCCCTATTCTAGGCAGCCCATGATAAATCCATGAAGGTAACCATGTGGTTAACCACCAAAGGATATAAATTTTGACCTTAAGGAGTGATTTGAAGATGTTTGGGATGCATTTGTTGCAAACTCACCAAAACTTCTTTAATTAAGCAATTTAATAATTCAATTAAATACTCATACTTCTTAAATTCATAGTTAATTTGAGAAAATTTTAAATTGAGCAAACTCAAAGTCATTAGACTTCTTTTAGGGTCTAATATTTATTAAAAATGTCAAACCTCTAAAAATCAACCAAAGTAAAAAATTTCAGAACTTAATCTAGAAAAATCTAAATCACACAAACTTAGTGTCTATTTACTCACCTTAGGGTTTAGTGTTTAGGAAAATATGAAAACTTTAGAACTTAACTTAAATTAAAAAGTTAAAGTTTGACCCCTTAATTTAATAAATTAAATAATTCATAAAATTATTAAAATTCAATAATTGATTAAAATGTCAGGAAACGTCAATTTGAATATTAAAACCCATCAATCAACCCCTAAACATACAACAAGCACTCCATCAATGAGTTTTTAGGATGGATTACATTGAGCTGCAAGGCTACGTATCCTAAAGAGGTCTGATTCTTCAAGCCCACTGTGACAACATCATGAACATATTCAATGAAGTTTAAAACTTTGAAATCAATTGATTATTAATTATTTAACTAAATTTAAACCTTTAATTCAGCTACATCAACCTGATTTTTTGGATGGACTACCTTGAGCTGCACGGGCTACGTGACATAATGAGGCATGGTTCCTCGAGCCCATTATGAAAATATTACGAATAGATTGATGGAAAATATTAACTAACTTAATCATTAAAATAAGCAACCAAATAATTAATATTAAAAATATCAACCTTTTAATTTTAACCAATTAAATTAATTAAATAATACTGGTTACTATTAGGTAACCCAGGCCTTCGAGCCTATTAATTTAACCCCAATGAAGGTGAAATAAAATTCATCGCATTGGCATAAACAAATGTAGTAATCACTCAACACTTAAAATACATCTTAAAATCAACATTAAAACACTAACACTTAAACTCAAATTAAAAAATCTCCTTCAACCAACAACAAACATTAAAATATTAGACAAGTTTAACAAACTACCCAGTATATGACATATCTAAGCTACATAGTCTGACACATACACTTTAGATGATTTGTTAGGACAACCAATCCTAATTTTAGGCTAGGCTGGTGTTTTCCTTTTTGTTGCTTATGTGCCAGGTTTTTCATGATTTTTACTGCAAGCTGATTGCAATTAATTGATTGATATGATGTTTATTAATGTGTTAATTTTATTATTCAACCTGTGAATTGATGTAATCTCCTAGGTTAAGAACGATCTATGCTCACTGAATTTTCTGCAGATAATCATGCTCATGCAGGACCATAAATCAAAGGGGCTGAATTAAAATTTAATTGACATATTTTCTGTATGTGCTAAAAATGTTAAATCCTCTTTGAAATTAAAAGAGCATGATCAAGTGCAATTGTGTTTTAAATTTGAGCAAATTTAATTATATAATGACCTTGGATGATTTTGATTATAATTGCCTAATATAATCATGCAAGTTATTTTAGAGTTTTCTTAATGTTTTGCATGTATTTTAATTCAATTGAGTTGTCAAAGTTAAATTTTAAGATGAGATATTAACCATCTAATTTGAAATCCAAAGAGAAAGAAAACATCCCCTCAGAGAATTCCTTTTAATTGAAAATTCAAATTATGATGATTTGAAAATCCAAAGATTCCAATAAACATCCCTTTGGAGAGGAGTTTCTTTTTCATTTGGGTTAACAATTAGTAGCTCCTTTCTTTTTTGTGCAAGTTGCTAACTTCATAAGATTTATGATGCTATTGATGTCTATTGTACTATATAATTTTTGACATATCAATGAATCATGGACGATGCCCCCATTTTTCTTTATATATACAGATGCTGTCCATGATTATTAGATTTTTATAGATGCAAAGTAGTTATCTGTTATGTTGCTATAGATGGAAATATATTATTTCAACAATTCCAAAGGACGCCCGGCTATAAATTTTGCATTCTTTTTTCACAGTTGGCTGTTTTCATTCCAACTTGAACCTCCCATCCAGGCCCGCGTGATACAACGCCAGACCTTTAACTGAAGGAAAGGCAAAGAGGGAGCACACACCGCAACTAGCAATTATAGGTTTTCTCGATTAGAACCTGGATCGACAGGAGGAAGATAATGAGATCCTGCTGGCTGCCCTTGATTCCCACCAAGATTCTGCCCTTCTTGGCAAGTCAGAATGAGGAAGAACTCCATCGACTCCTCCTCACCTTGTCTCAAGCAGGCCTTCCAAACTCCGATCCAAGGAAACCTCCAGCTGCCTTCCAAGCCTCTTCCACTAGGCAATGGCAAATTATTAGATCCGGATACCGGACAGAGAGAATCATCCAGATTTCTCTCTGTCTACAGTGAAAGCGCAATTATTGTAGAAGCTACGCTTTGACTGCGCTTTCACTATAGACAAAGAAAAATCCGGATGATTCTCTGTATCACGTGTCCAAACCTAATAATTTCTCCTTCCACTGACAGCCCCGCATTCCATTAAATAGACAAACGGGAAAACCAGGAAACATGGTACAGGAAAAGCTACAAAGAAAATAAACTGATAACATATACAAAAGCAACATATCCGGCTAGACGAAATATAAAGCTGCACTTATTCAACTAAAAGCTAAGACTAGTGACAATCTAACTAAAAATTACAGTCATCAAAGAATATGCCACTAGCACTGAAGTGGAAGAAATATTTCTCAAACTGAATGTGAGAAATAGGCCAAAGAAACAAGCTACAGCAACTCGATTTCAATAACCTTTCTCATCTTTGTCCTAGCTGCATTTTTTTATGGAGCTCCGCTGTTTAAGAAGCTATTAAAAACTCCCAAATGCCAAATCTAGTTTCTCATGCTTTGTTTTATCCATCCAGTAGAAACTTGAGTAGAACGTGACTTCTCTAACTCTTGCTTGTCTTGCTTTCTCGTTCAAGGAGCTAAGACAATCCCACAAAGCCAAATTTCTTTCTCTTCCTCTTTAAGGGTTGCTGCTTGCAAACAAATCCATCAACAACCAGAGGAGGTAAAAGTTCCAGTTTTCTATTGAGTATTTGACCAAGAGAGACCTTATCTTTTTCATCTGGCATCTCGCATATTTCTCTTATAGCATGCTCGTATCCTTCCAAACCCATTAATTTTTTACTAAGTATTTCTCCTATAGATAGTGCATGTTTGAATCCACTCTTTGAAGTATGACTAGCCAAGTTAAAGCCATTAAATTCAAGCATCCTTGAGTATGTGTAGTTCTTAAATTTAGGGGAACTGGAATGAATCTTCTCACTATACAGAGGCCATCTCCAAAATGCCCCTTCAGCTGCCAGCTTCTCACTGTTTGCAGCTTCTAAACGGTTTAATGCATCTTCCAACACCTTCCTGCTGGTTTTAACTTCTTCTGCAGCTTCCTTCACTTTTGCCAGCAACTCCAGCTTAGACAGGTTTGATGTTTCTACATCAACCATGGAAGAAACTTCAATTTTCTTGCCCGAGGAATCTTCATTAGTTACTGACATCAAATTCTTTTCAACAGGAAGCGCCAGTGTCGAGTTTTTGTCTCTCATTATATCCTTCATCCTAGTAATTGCAACAGCTTCGGCAGCCTTAGCAGCTTCTTCCATTTTCTTAGCAGCAAGCTTCCTCATTTCGGCAGTCTTAATACCCGCTTGCATCTTCTCAATCTCGCAAGTTAAGTTTGATGCTTCAGATTTGGCAGCTGTTGCTGTTTGCCTGAACTCTTCTGTCTGAGACCTCAGATGCTCAATCTCTCTTGAGATATCGACGGGGTCCCTGTGCAAGTTATCATTAGCTTCTTTGGTAATTTGTAGTTTTAACGTTGTTTTCTTCAGATCTTCTTCTAGGAAAGAAACAATAGTTCCAAGTGATGAAAGCTTTTCAGGTGTTTTTTCCTGGATTGTTCTTTCATTCTCTATTTCGTTGTAGAGTGTTTCAATGAATGCACGGATTTTTGTTAGATCACAAGTTGTTCTGCTCAGATTCATCTTTGCCAGCTCTAGCTCATCTAAAATTGAACCTGAAGATTGACCTCTATCTGTAACTGCATTGACTGCATTGATTAAGATATTTTCTTTTTCCTTTAGTGCAACAGGACGAAATTTTAGGCCACTTGACTGTGGCCCGGGGATTTTATTGACTTCAGAGGTTTCCTCTTTCTGCAATTGCGATTCAAAGTCATCCAAGACTCTTTTGGGAACTTCCGGTTCTTTTATAAAGAGACCCTTCTCCAACTGGTCAGCCTGCTCTTGCACATTCAGAACCATATATTCCTTGGAAGAACAGCGTTTCTGTGAAGAAAAGCCACAATGTTTAAAATAACAATATACAATATTTTTCAAAGTTTAATGTACATCGATGATGAAGTACAAGAAGTTATCTTTGTAAGTTTAATGTATCTTCCCACCAATGCTTGGTTCATTGACATTTTTCGGGAACAAGACAAAGAAAAATCACACAATTATGTGTTTTAAGATTCAAGTTAAGGTTCTACAAACATCAGACGAAACAAATTAGCTCATAGAATTACAATTCCTGAAAACAAACGAATTCATCACGATTGTCATGATTAACTTGAAGTCAGTATCGCTTAATCTGCATGAAAATGAAGCAAGCATCCACAGCTTTTTGAAGTAAAAATGAAATTTTCTCATGGTCAAATAAGCCCACCTTTCTTGGAGAATTTTCATAAGCTCAGCCACAATAAATGCCTTAGCCCATTCTAGGCCCACACAGAAGCAAGAGAATGAAAAAAATGTAAGTAAACATCAATGATAACGTGATGCAGATTTATATGTTAGCAAATTGAAAATTTTTTGATGATGAAGGAGCTATCTTAAGAAAATTGAGAAACAATGCACTTATTAATCCTAGTTAGAGTGAATTGAGAAATAATGCACTTGTTAATGAGATTTCCAAATTTACAGAGGTGAATTAGTTTTCCCGGTATGAAAGGCCAACTCCTCTTTCTCTCTCTCACACAGACACAAACATTCGCTCACAAACTCATGCACACATGCATGAGGGAGGGGTAAAGAATTTGATCCCCAAGGTAATTATTCCCTGGGGAATCTATTAATAAATTGGTCCAAGGGGACTCCATTTAGGTGCTGCCACCCTTAATTGCTTTAGCATCCACGATAGTTCAACATCAAATTAGATATCAAATGATTGTATTGCATTTCTTCCCAACGGACTAAATTTATGTACCACCACCTTCATCCATCCCTGACTGCTATATCTTTCACGTCAATTTATAATCACTTATGCTGCACTGATACTTTGTTATAAAGCAATATACATGTAGCATGTTAGGGATGCTTACATGTTTGCGACATGTCATTCAAATAAAAAATATCGTATAAATATGCCCAACATGTCTAGCATGCTTGTCTTTGAATGACTAAGTTTAAAAACTTAAATCTCTTATTGGGCATATCCTAATTTTACTTTTTTGCATGTGAGCGCCAGAATATCAATAATAAATATGACCATTGTCCAACCAAGAACTTCATAACTCATTTTGTACTTATTTAATTTGTACAATCATTGCAGTGTGTTTTTAATTTTTAAAATATATAAATTATTAGGCCATGTTGAAAATCTGCTTGTGTCCTATATATTTTATTAATAGGCATGTCCAGTGTTTGTATTGTTACAAGATAGGCAATCACATTATAATGTCAACTCATTGCCATGAATTTCTTCCAACTTAGCCTTCCTATGATAGGCATAAAAGCAGTCACTCCATATTTCACCACTTGTCAGCAAATATTAAATACTTATTTTTGTGGCAACTGTATTAGGATATTGCCTTAAAATTTGTCAATAAAAGCAAAATAAAAATAAATTTATGATAAATATAAAGTATCATTTTGTTCTCAGATTAAAACATGCATAAATTTTTGTTTAAAATGTTTTTTATTTTCAATTACCTTGAAGTTAAAATTTGAATCATATTTTAAATTTGACTTTTTCATCTCCTTATGATCATCATCATTAGAATTATCCCAACTATTAATTTCAATTTTAAATTTCCACCCCTTTAAACTGTTAGAGTTGGAATATGCTTGAGGAATATGTAGCCAATTGTTGATGGTTGTCTAGCCGACCAGCTGCTTGATTGTTTCGCAGACAGCTGCTATTAAATCTAATAAACTAATCATTGTTAAATCTATCTGAATCAAATAGTAGATTGATAATTATTTAAATATGCACTAATAGTTTTATAAATTATTATTTTAATTACGACTAACAATGTTTGCTTCTTGTGTAAATCAGCATATAGCCTCTTATATTGCCTTTTGTTTGCATTTCTCTTTATTAAGCAAGCGGGATCAAACCAAAGAAAAAGAGAGGGCTAATGTAAGCCAAACCAAGCACTGGAAGCAAGAGCATAAAATCAAGCAAGAGAAAAAGGGGAGAAAGGTGAGATTTAGGTCTTCTTCCTCATTTTTCATGAGATTTCCGTGAAATCGAGAGGAAAGGCATGTGCTTGAGTGTCAAGAGCAAGAGAGGTATGATTCTTGCCTCTTTGACTCAGTTGGAGCTTCTTGCAGATGGAGTAGACGACAAGATCAAAGCTAGGGAATCAAGTGATCTGCTAGTTCATGGAAGGGAAAGCGGTAGAAGATAAGAGGTAGAAATAGGTGGATCAGAACTCTTTCTTCTTTGTTTAGGCAATAGATTTGATCAGGTGATATCTTTCCTTTCTCATTCTTTAACAAATTTGTATGTCTTTTAATAGTTTACCAAGATCTAAAATGCTTTTGTAATCAATTGTGCAAATAATAAAATATAAGCCTTCTCTTTCTTCACGTGGATGTAAACACAACTGTGTTGAACCACGTTAATTGCTCGCGTTCATTTCTTGTGGCTGATTTCATGTTTCTTCTAGATTTCTTTATTGTTTTTGGAGAAAATTATTTGCCATGTTCCATTTTGCAAGGAAATGATTTATCTTGATAGATCTTTCAAATATTAGTTAAGTATCATTTGATTGATTGCAAGAACCTCTTAGTTATATTCTTGTACATTGTTTTTACACAAAAGAAAGTACCAACTAATTGAAACTAATTAATCAGTAAACTGATTTATTATTGTGAAAAAAAATAATAATAATAATAATCTAATTCTTTAATTGTCTAAAATCAAGATTTTTAACTATATAATTCATCTTGTTCTAATTGTAGGGAAAACTAATTTGCAAATTTGTGAATCTAATTCTTTTATTTAAGTTTTATTTAAGCGGTTTAGAGGTACATATTGTAACATTGAAATGACAGATCCTTCTATGCAACTCGAACCATTATTTGGAAAGTTTAGTTTCAATCATTTGGAAAAATCTTGAATTACTTAGGTTTTCATTTATAACAAATTGGTATCAGAGCCACTAGTTAAGATTAACAAAATGGGTGTTTCAAAGGTCAAGATTGATAGGTTCAATGAGAAAACCAATTTTTCGATTTGACGGAAACGAATGAAGGCCATTATAGTCTAAATGAAATTTGTTAAGGCTTTAGAAGGAGAGAGAACTTTGCCTAGTTCTTTAAATGCAGATGAGAAAGCAGAAATCTCGCTTATTTTACATTGACATTTGCGTTCTTCTGATATAGGTATCTACCAAACAAAGAAATAAATGACAATGAAACAGCATTATAAGCATTTCTCTAAAGTGGTAAGATTTCGGCCAGGTATATGTGGTTAATTTAGTAGTGGCTAAGTAGAGGCGATCGTGCATTGAGACACCAACTAATTAAGATACCCAAACCAGTATCAATTATTTTACATTGGGATATGCACTCTTCTGATAAAGGTATCTATCAATAAAAGAGAATGAAAAGTGCTGTAAACAGCCTATAGGCAGCTCTCAAGGATGTTCTTCATATGACTAATGTCCGGTCTACGGATTAATTTAGATGGTGGCTAACCAAACATAAATGATCATAGGTGCATTGAGACACCAACAGATGGAGTACCCAAATAAATACCTTTTAATGGGACTATAAAAACCGAGTCAAATTTTATAATTCAGTATTTAACAGTAAACGCCTAGTCATGAAGAACAGTAACAGTTATATACTCAATGCAACTTCTTTATTAAGTAATGTTAGTCAATAAGCTTTGCATTATGGTCATACAGCACTTACAAGGCATAATTCTTAAAGGTTCAAGAAAAAAAAAAACCCCGCAAAGGAGCATTGCAAAGTTTTTAAAGGGGGAAGCTTAAGAACAAATGAAAAAGAAAAACTAAAACACAAAAATAGAAAAAAGGAGTCGAAATGTAAACTCACTTCAGGGAGGAAGAACATCCTGAGCTGGGAATTCCAGACGGCGCTCCCTCCGAAACGATCCACAGCTTCCTTAACCGATTCGAAAGGAGCTGAAGTGTCGACCTCACCTCTTCTCCATTTGGATTTCTCGCCAAAGACTAGGTTTTCTACCGGTACAGGCTTTTTCTTCTCCGAAAATGGCGAAGCTTTGGTAGCATCCATTGCGTTCTCTTCTTTCCCCTTCTCAATTTCTATTCTCGACCACCCTTTGCCCTAGTGGAAGAAACTTGAGCGTTATCTACGGATGGATTTGGGAATTGGGTGACGCATGGCAACATGGACCGAACCTTCGGATATTTTTTTAGGGGAACGTTAAAATCTTGTATACCGTAGAGCCCCTAGAAACTTGGAGAAATTACGGAATGTAACTTTTTGTTGACCCAGCTATGGCCGTTGCAGTTGTGTTATTGCTAGCCGTTAACTCTCTGTCATCTTTTAACTTTATCCTCAGAAGGATCGTTGGAAAACAATAACAACTGCTCTGAAACAATTTTACATAAAATTTTAGATTTTAATAATGCCCTTTGATACTTGAATTGTTTTGGCCAAATTAAAAAATAAAAGAGTCACCTATTTATATAATTTGAAATAAAAAGTAGGTTTTTGAGTAAATTATAGTTTCTTTTAGAGTAAAGCATTTTCATTAAGAGATTATTTAGTTCTAAGTAAAATGAGTATTGATACATCACCAAAAACTTATCTTGATAGGGCACGAATCTCGATGCAGAATGGAGTTGGAAACTTCTAAAATTAATTTGGAAGCCATCTCAACTTCGATTTCAACAAACTTATAGTCAAACTGAGCGTCTCGGAAATACGAATCCAACGACACCAAATTCGACTCAATCCGAGACAAATGAGCCCAAATCGAAGACTCGAAGTGCTGTTGGAAGGTTCAAATCACAATTTGAGTTACCAAACGGTCTCTGATTTTAACGAGCTTATACTCGAATCGAACGGCTCGACGAAACAAATCCAACGAGCCCAAGATCATTGAATTCCGACATCACTAAAGCCTTCAAATGTCTAACGAACGGTGCTCGATCGTAAGATTTAATATCGGCCGTCCATTCGACCACTCCTTATTCGCCCCTGATCTTAGGCCTATTTGCGAGTTATGCCACTCCAGAAAAACTATAAATAGAGCCCTCATTCTTCACAAAG